GCATGGGATTCATTCTTTTTTCTCAACTTCCCATGAGTCTCTTATTATTTCAAACTAAAAAGCATAAGAAATTGTTTTCTACTTGCCAACAGAATGAAAATTCAAAGAAAAAAATCTACGTTTTTTTGGTTGGTGGATATTTTGTTGATTTTATGTAAATCTCAGAAAGCATAACATTTTCATGCCCAATTGTTGATTGAAAATTTCAGGAACTCCCTGCTGAGGGGCGGGGAATAAAGTGCTGTCAATATTGCAGCTCTAAGAAATTAATCTGGATGTGCTACTAAGGGAATGAAGTGTGCTAAGGGTTCTCAGGGCACTGGCTGCTAGGAGTAGCTTAAAAATGGATTTCTTCGTGTGTCGTCAGGGACTTGCACAGCTGTTTTCTTTTTGAAATTGTTTTGTTGTTGCAGCAATCAGCGTTTGTTTTTAAACTTTAGATTAAACCAACACACCTCTGCTGCCAGCCGGGAAGGTCATTGATTCCAAAACAGAGTTTAAGGATTTCTCACAATTATTCTCATGATATATTTCACTTACCAGGGCTTGATTTCTTTTAGTTCTACTTTCTGCTGATAGCACATACGTACCCCACAAGTCTGTGCTTGTGTGGATGATGTTACCACTTTTTCCATGGATATACTTAAAGTACAGTGATTTTAAGATTATATTTGCAATGGGAAATATTTAATTTAATACAGGAAATTTGGATCACAAGCTGGATATTGGGTAACGAAGAGTCAGCAGTCAATCTGACCAGTGAAATTGGTGGTAAAGAAAGGTCATACACCATTCTCTTCACTACTGGACTGGAAGTAGGTAGCTGTCACCTCAAAATAGTAGGATACACTTAGGGGCATCGTTATACCATGAGCTATAATATTGCAGCCCTGCCAATGTCTAATCCTTTGTGTCTTTCAGTGGATAAAACCCTGAGAATAATTGCATAAACCATCATCGCTCTCTTGGCGGTTACATTAACAGTGAATTATTCAAAGAACCAGAAAATGTTGTGCCAACAAAGGAAACAGCACTATCGGCTAGGTATGGAAAGGACAGCTAAAAAGACAAAATTGCTTGATGATCAATTTAAAGCCAATTTAAAGAAAAAAAAAAGAACTTGGTGAAATTCTATGTTGCGGCGATGGTCAAATCTGTTGGGACCTTAAAAAGAGGTGAAAAAGATGATACTCCTACTGACTGTGCTCCATAATTCTAACACTGCAAAAAGAGTATCTTAGAATGTACTGGTTGAGATATGGATGCTGACCTTGCTCTTTATCTTCAGTTGGAAAGCATGGACACTAATAATTCAGCAATTGGATCAGTTATTCGCTTTTGTCCACTAATTTTTAAAAGGATAATTTATAGTACAGAAGCCAGTAAAAATAATTTTTAAAAGATACGTGAGAATTGCTTTTTAAAATTTTTAAAAAGACTTATTTATTTATTTACTTGAGAGATAGATGAGAGAGGAGAGAGGGAGAGAGAGAGAGGAGAGAGAGAGAACATGCCCCTGGAAGCATTCACAGGCCTGAAGGGAAGGTGAAAGAGGAGGGGGATGGACATGCAGATTCTGTGCTGAGCGTGGAGCCCCATGGTGGGTGTGGTGAGGCTCCATCTCACTACCCCTGGGGTCATGATCTGAGCCAAACTCAAGAGTCAGTCACCTCACCAACTGGGCCACCCAGGTGCCCGGGGAATTGCTTTCAATGAGTGGAGGAACACCTGTTGATGGATGCACACAGGGAAACAAATCCATGATGCTGACATGGGTGGGAAAAGTCACCCTTTCGTATTTTGCATGAACCAGCAGCCCTGTGGCAGCCTATCAATAATATCCCTTCTCAAAGAGTTGGCCTTTTGATTTTCCTTGCATATTAATGAGCTGGCAAACAATGCTGGCTTTCGTTGTAAATCTGCAGGAGTAATCATTCAGATGCTTATCTTTTGAGATACATTTGTAAGGAAATGGGAAATGAGTTTGAAAACTTGCTCTTTGACATACATAGGGGCTGATTTAGGCAGAGAAAAATGCTCATCGAATTTTCCGTTTGGTGAAATTACTCTTTTTTAACGGAGAATTAAAAAATCGCTATAACAATGGGTTAAAACGATGAGTTGCGGTTTTGCCTGATGGTAACAGTAGTTCTCAGAGTTGGCTTATTCAGCAAGAACGCTCGAAGGGTGAATTGTTTGTAGGAGTGGAATTGTGAAAGCTTTGGCTGGATGTGACAAGACAGCAGAAGGAAAGTGTGCGAGCTGTGCTGAGCTGACTGTATGGATGTAATTTTGGAAACTTAATTCAATTACGTGTGATAAAAGTTACCCGTGTAATTTTTTTTTTCTTCGAGGGGGCCCTTCAGGATGTAAGGCCCATCTGTCTGTGACATCTGTCACCGTACTGATGCCCAGGGTTGGTTGTGCTGATCTGGCTGCCTAGGCTGTGTCCCCTTCCCCCCTCCCTCTCCCTGTGCGTCCCTCATGAAGCTGGTGCTCTGTCAAAGAGGAGGAGCTTGCACTACAGAGGGGGACCTGCCCCCAGGCCAGGTATGAGAGTAGCCGTGCTCTGAACCTCCCAACAAGCTCTCAAGGTCCATCTGTAGGAGAACATAGGGTAGTCGAGCTTCCAAGATCCCAGACACACCCAAATAAGACGCTGTATGTGGCAGTCTTTCTGCCTTTCCAAAAGAAAAAGAAGAAAGAAAGAAAGAAAGAAAGAAAGAAAGAAAGAAAGAAAGAAAGAAAGAAAGAAAAGAAAAAGAGACCCTTCAATTATTTTCCCCTTAAGACAATAAAAGACATTCTTACCTTAATTCCTATGATGTGAGTCACCTGACTTTTCAGCTAAAAGATACTTAAAATTTTCACCAGCCAGCATTCCCTACCTTATTATGCTTCTAACGTTTGCAAAAAAATAAGAAAAACGATTTTGATTTGTATGCCCATTTTTAAATGGACTCATGATCTCAAAAAATGATGACAGTGTGACAAGAAATTTCTATTCGTGTGAATTCAGATTGCCTCAGTTTTATGAAATAAATACATTATCAGCTGTGATTAAAGAGGGAAGCACAGAGGAAAATCTTTAGCTTTTCCTGATAGCAAATGATGAAGGCATTTAAAAATTGCATTAATTTATTCAACAAATATTTATTGAGCCTACTACTTGCGGACACTTTTCTAAGGGCTTGGCACAATCAGTGAATAAAGCAGAAAATATCCTTGTTTAAGAGATGAAAAATGTTCAAAAGTTAAAATCCCCAAGATTCAAGAATTGTAGACACCATCCCAGACCTTGGGAAACATATTTCTTTTTCTATTAGAGTATTTTCTGATGGAGTCAAAGAAACACTGGCCTAGATGCTCCTTTACTTCTGGAATTACCTAGGTGGTTAATTTGAGAATCCGAAAGCTGTTTGAGTGCAAGGGGGTAAAGTGAGCTGCTGGGACTGGGTGACCTTGAGGGCTGTCTGTGCTACGGATAGGTCTGCGGAGGGCCTACCACTCCCAAGACAGCGTAGAGTAGGCCGAGGTCAGGAATTTCATCTTTCCAGACCCTGGCCTTTTCCACCGGATGGCAGTGGAACAATATGAAACACGCTTGCTCTCTTGCTCTCTTTTCTTTGGCGCCGTGCAGCCCACTTCCTCTCCATTCAGACAGAGCGTGGAGTAGCTGATTCGGTTTTACCTCTAATTGTAATCACATTGTGTTTCTTTTTCCTTGAGACCAAATTCTATTCTCAGCAATTTGGGTGTTCCCTATGCTCGCCCACATCATACATACAATTTTGTGTGATCTTCTAAGTTTTAAAAATGGACTTTCTCTTTGATTATGTGCTTGTTTTATATTACTATTGGAGAAAAACATCACTTTCTATTTCTGGGATACCTCATTTTGCTCTTAAGGTCTGTTATAGGAAGGTATGGGTGGCTTGTTTTATGAGACTGTCTGGGTAAGGTTTTAGATTCCTATGATACAGTCACAAGAAAACAATAAAGCAGACGTGGAGAAGGAATATATCCATCCACATGCCACCACCTCTTTTCAAATTCCTCACAGTCAGGTTTTCTGATGGCCTCCTCTCAACTCTAGTTCCTCAAAATATTCCAGGCGAGAGCTCAAGCTTTGCTGAACCCCCATCTATTTCAGCTTTGTGGTGGTTACAGTGATAGTTGCCTACTAGCCATTAATGCGTCCTTTGCTTGCTATCCAAGTCTCCTAGGCTCCGAACTTCGGGGAAGATTTGGTGTGCTGGTGAAGACCTCTCTGTTCCTATTCCCAGTGGAAATGTCCCGCCCTACCTCTAGCTGCATCTCTTAACCTTCCCACACATTGGTCCCCAGGACAAGGCTTCTTGGTCTAGTATCTTGCTTTTGACAATTTCCTTCCCTGGTCACTCCATTCCTACCCTGGCTCTGGCCTCAGCTTTGGGCCTTAGCTGCCTTCAGAAGAATCTCCTTGAAGATGACCACTTGCCAGAATCCTGAGCATGGTGTACCTTGGAGTCTTTGATGTTGGGCTCTCCCCAAGCCCCATTTGCTCAGGAAAACCTAGTACTTGCTTTGGATGAGCTGAGTAAGTCATGAATTCATGTAGTTTTGGCTCCCTGGGCTATGCCAATACCAGCTTCCTTTTTAAAAAGGTGATGTACTTAGTCTCAGCTCCTTTCTCCTTGCCTGGCATCCCTTTGGAAGAGTCTTTATTCCCAATAATTTATCTCCTGAATTTTCACATATAGAGACCATTGCTCCCTTTTACTCTAACATGTGACTTGTTTTAAAAAAATATTTGTAAAAGGTTCTCTGGCGTTCACTGGACATTAACTATTTCACTCCAGATATCATTAATTCAGAGAATTTTTAAACTGGGTTAATTATAACAAAATTTTGTGCAAATATTAAATATATAAATATATATATAATTCAGGTTAGATGATTTAGCATTATTTTGAGGCTGAACATTATATAGAAAAAAGAATCTGCAGATCCCAAACAGCTGGATTGAATTGTTTAATGATTTTTATAAAATGACATAAGTAAATAATTTAATTGGAGAATAAAGCTTCAAAAAGAAATCGGCAGATACAACTTATTTTGGAGAAAGATTATAAATTGGAAATAACTGCAAGCTCCAAGGGAAATGTTCTGGTTTATTCTGGAGTACATTTAAGCCATATAGTGTGGAGATTTCCTGTGATTCTTTTGAAGGGTGAGGAGATAAGGATTCATTTGGTACTACAGATGAGGATTGCTTCGGGTACTTATTAGTTTACCTTCAACATTTTGGCCCATGTAGAGATTTTATACAGTATCAGAGCATAGGCATCAAAAAATGAAAAATACTTTGATAAAGTGAGCCCTCTTCATGACTTCTTTAATAGTATCTTTTGAAACCACTGAAACCACAGAATTCATGAATGATGAACTTTGGGTAAGAAGATGGAAAGGCAAAATTAAGAGAAACTCTCAATGAAATAAAAATAAATAGCCTAATTGTTGTGCATAACATGTACGTGAAAAAGAACTGTTCACTCTTTGCTTCCTCTTCCTTTTTTTTTTTTTTTGAAAAGAGCCTGAATTACCAGGAGTCTGCAGAACCACCTATTTATTTCTCAGTATTATCTTGAGAAATATTTACTGTCTTGGTTATTTAATTTTTCTATTTGCAATTAGAAATCACAAAGGCTGCCTTGAAGTTTGTTGGAAGAAGTAAACAAGTCAAAGAACCTAAGTGTGCTTTGCAAGCCATCAGGTCATAGATGTGCGTAGGTATAGAGGGAAGCAGGACTCTGGTGTGGGAGCCCACGTGGGGCCCATCCTTATGATCTTGGCAGTCATACAGAGTTCTCTGAGTTTCAGGTTTTTTCCCCTTACCATGAGATTGTTCTGTATGACATTTGTGGTCCTTCCTATTCAAGACTCTTCCCTCATTTCTACATACCATCTTAGCTTCATATAAGAAGAATCTTTTTTCAGAATTTGCCAGTCATGCATGTTGGAATCAAAAGGTCACTGCAATATGTTTCAGATTTTAAGTCTTTTGGTCTTTTTTCCCATTGGAACTAAAATTATTCTTTATGATAAGAAAACTTCCTATAGTAGAAAATGTTGAGTAGACACTTGCCTGAAAGCTGCCCCCCGCCCACTTTTGTTTATTTGGGGTTTTATTGTTTTAATTTTTTTACTTTATGAAGCCCATTTTTTGAAAGAGCATATTCTGGACTATATTAAACAAAGAAGTCCTAGCTGTACATTCTAATAAAGATACTTGCTACTTAAGAAGAAACATGCAGAATTTGAAGCAAAGTAATACTATAATAGAAATCTGAATCTACCTAACATAATTAAGCTAATGTCACATATAAAGGCAAATTTCAGAAGAGTAACCTTTTCTTCAAACAAAAATTAATCAGATTCAATAAGCAGTTTAAATGGGCAGAGTGGTTATCACAGCATGAGAAGCTGTTTGGGGTGATGTGGGGCCAGGTGCAGGAATTCATGCAGGCTTGGCTTTTAGATTTTATTACCTAGAGCTATTTTAGGAGAAGCCAGGTCGAACTGTGGACATATTTGATTTTAGACTTTATAAAACTTTCAGCTTTACTGGAGACCACTATAGAAAAGGAGGAAAATCAAAATGTTCTCAATGTACACACATGCCACAGCAGGTGTTTCCACACCTATTTTATTTGACAACTTCCAATCACTGAAGGAGATTTTAATATCAAGTAGTTGTTCATCAGCAATTGTGCCTAAAAATAATTTTAAAAATCTCTGTAGGGAAGCAGATTGTCTTTTTTTAGATCCAGATGTTTTCTCAGGATGACAGGAAATCTGGCTAAATCCTCTCTGTAATAGGTAAATCATGCATGATAATATCTAACCATCTTCACTATGTAAAAACAAATGAAAGTTAAAGTTCATTTTTATAAATGAATTATGCAAACATAGCTTCTATTTTTATATTTGGCTTTGGTGATAAGGCAACATAGAGAACTCGTGCAAGGGTTGTGTGCGCACACACACAAGCACACACGCACACACACACACATGCACAAAAACTCAAGCACTTTTTCTGCCTTGTTCTTATTCCTTTCTGAGATCAGACCCCTTACTTGATATAAGAGTTTTCTCCCAAAAAGTCTGCTCAGCAAAACTTCTATTAATGCAAGTGTTTCTAATCACATATTTCTGAAATGTTTACAAATGTCTTGAATCCAGCAATGACGGCAAAATGAAGGGTGTGTGGTTGGGAAGAAAATGCCCATCCAAAGTAGAAAAACTACCAGTTAAAAATCACAATACATAAAAAAATATTTTTGAAGGATAATTTCCATTTACCTGATAGGTTTTTCCATAAAAAATTATAAAATACTTTAAAAGAGAAAACAGAATATTTCAATAATCTTTGTTTTAGTTTTTTCATCTTTACAATCAAGGAGTTGGACTAGATACCGTTTTTTTTTCCAACTCTAATAGTCTATGATTTTAGTCAACATAGGAAGATGTTAAAATGTGTCCCACTGTTTCATTCAAATAGTAATAGAAAAGGTGACTTAAAATTGTATGCCTGATAATATAACCCTTTTATTTTACAGGTAACAAAAGCAAGTCCCAGGGAAGTAACATGACTACCCAGTGGTACCCATCTATTTGGGCATCTATTGATTTCACTGCTTCCAAATATCTCTAACCATCAAATATTTTGCTTTCTTTTTGTTGTTGCTGTTGTTACTATTTAATTAAAGGCTCCAGATCCCCCTCTGCACTCCTGGAAATTCTGCTTTAGTAATTATGGGATGAGGTCAGGAATCTAATTTTTTAAAAAGAGATTCCCAATATTTTGACTTGTAGTTAAAGGTAGGAACCACAGAGCCACAGCAGACTACCTGCAATACAGTGATGGAGGGGAGCAGGTCTCTGTTGCCCAATTCTTGGGCAGTCTCTCTAATATAACATAGCAGCACCTCCCAGTGGGCCCATCACTGCATGCCACAGCCTACCACTTCCCTGGGTCCCCCCTCGTCCTTTCTAGATGTAAAGCACGTAAGTGCCATCTCTTGATGTCTAGGTTACTTTTCTCTGATAGGTTTCCTATGGACAAGAATATTCCTGAAAGAAACAAGAATGAAAAGAGTGGATCTAAACACCATAGAAATAGAAACAATTACACGAGAATATTATGAAAAACTAGATGTCAACAAATTGGACAACGTAAAAGAAAGGGATAAATTCCAAGAAACATATAACCTACCAAGCCTGAAACAGGAAGAAATGGGAAATTTGAACAGACCAATTACCAGCAAAGAAATTGAATCAGTAACCAGAAAACTCCCAACAAACAGAAGTCCAGGATCAGATGACTTCACAGGGAAATTCTACCAAACATGTAAAGAAGAGTTGATACTCATTCTTCTCAAACTATTTCAAAAGAGAGTGCATCTATAGGCCCTTCTTATCATCTGCTCGCTCCAACCTCATATTCTAGAAGTTTAATTAATCTCAATTCCTACAAACTCTCCTTATTGGAAAGTACGAATATGTCCATCACCATGCAACAGTCTTGAGCCTTTTAAGGCAGTCTGGGATTTGGAAATTATTTACTTTACCTCAAGTCATGATGTATAAAGGAATAACTTCTCTTAATTTTTAGGATGTATCATAAGAAGGTCTTTGAATATATAGGTTACAAGACTTTAACCTTTCCAGCAATAAAAGAAAAGCTCAAATAGAATTTATATCTAGTAACAAAGTTGGTTTTACAGAGAGATGGGGGAGAGCAAAACTGCTTCTAAGATCTTCCGCGTGGAATTCCAAGCACTTCAACATTCATACTTCCTTCAGTTCTCAACATAGATCTTAAGTGTTTACTGTATGCGAATTGTGGCCAAAATACACATTTCTGTTCCTCATGCTACTCATGGATGCCAACATTTAGTTTAAGGCTTTTTTTTTTTTTTTTAATGTAGCACACTGGAGGAAATATAATTCGGCTCTCAATGAAATACATTCCTAATCTTCCTCGTTTAATAAAAAAGTGAATTTTTTACCTACTAATTTTAGGGGAAAGTTAAAAGAAAAAGCAAATGACTTACCTCTAAATATGACTTCAAATAACTAAAAGCTATATAATTGAACAAAAAGTAGAATTCAACATAGCTGAATTTCTTTTCATATCCTCCGGAAGGGTTATCTGTTACTGAAGTTGACAAAATAAGTTGATTTTTAAGTCCTGTTGCTTCTAAGGCAGTCAAGTGATATGGCTCTGGGGATCAAATACACAGTTAAAGCCATAACAGACTACCGAATGATATACAAAAAATTTTGTGAACATTTCACGTTTGCTTTAGAAGCCTGATCTATTAAACCTGTGACAATTTTATTTATTTAAGAGAGTAAACAAGGAGACCAATGGTATTAGTCCATCCTTACAGCAGTTAAGAAACTATTTATGAGTTGTATTTAGAAATCTACCAAATGTTATTAACGTGTATAATTATTATTTTTCAATGTAGTTGGGGCCAAGAAAGTGTTTAGTTAATATATGTACCTCAAATGCCTTAAGTGGATACCTATTAAAAGGTATACAAAATATAAATAGTACTGTATATTTTCAAAAATTTTAAATAAACAGAAAGATACATAGGTATACATGTTATAATTTCAAAGTCAACACTAGCACATAATGTTTTTCTTATCTAAATACATACTAGGATACCTCCTATTTCAACACATGCATCTACAAACACTTGGCCATGCACATAACCTTGCTTTCTGCCACTTGCAAGAAAGTTAGAATATACATTATAGTACAGTTTCAACTTAAATCATATTGGCAAATTAATGAGGATGGCATTAAAAAATTCTGATCTAAGAACTCAAAATACGGGAAGGTATAGATTAAAAACACTGAAGACTGATGGGAAGTTAAGATTTAAATTGTCCCAATGATCTCGAAAGACAGAGAAGAGATAGGATTGGCTGTAAACACTCGGAATGCTCTGTTTGGCGATTAGGACTTTCGTCCTCTAGCAATCCAGGCCAGAGACTCAGACCATCGATGCTGCTGATCGTAGAGAGATGGTATAGCTGGGGGCAGTTCTCCGCAAGGCAGGGGGTGCTGATGGAGATCTGGAGGCCCATCTGGATGGGAGACGGCGATTTGCTGGTCTAGCAGGTCGGGAAAATCCTTTTCCATGTGAAGATTTCACTGCCACGGATTCCTAAGAGACAAAGGAAGACACCTGTCTCACTATACAAGCACCAACGATGGGCTTCACGTATTATGGATCCCAACTACAGGGTTAACGTGTTAGCATATTTACAAGCAAATAAAAGCATGGATAACTGAAGAAGGTAATTGTCTAATGTTTGTGGCCTTGAATCAAAAGCGACTCACTCTAATAAGGAATATGGCACTTGATAATCTTGTAATCTTTTCACACTACCAAATTTTAATACAACTGATCTTTTTTCCTTTTTTTTTTTTTTTTTTTTTTACAACTGATCTCTTGTTACAACTAACTATAAGTTCAGGATTCAAAGTTTATGTTAGATAACTGGCAATGGAACTATAGATGTTTCTTAGCGGGATATTAGGATGTTTTAGCATTATTAAAAAACAAAAATATAACAATTTATGGGCAAAACCATGCTCCTTTATGTCAAGCTATTGGCACTTTCAGAGGTCATGAGCAAAGGGCACACAGATCACTAAATGATTGATCTGATGCTTTTTTCCCCATCAAGAACTACTATTTCTCAAAAGTTTCAAAATTATCATTGAAATATTTAAAAATATAACTTCAATAAAAACAACTGTAAACAAATATATAAAATAAAATGATATCTGAAAAAATAGAAATAAAAATATAACTTTGTTGTAATTACAAATAGAGAATTATTATCTATATTGGGCATCATCAGATGACTTAAAACCTTTTCCTTCCTGTCACTTTTCTTTTATTTCTTCTTTCTTTTCTTTCTTTCTATTTTACTGGGAAAAAAATATTCTTAGACTTTTGCAATAAAAAAAAATTTAAAAAGTTTCCATGACACGTTTTATACAACTATTATTATTGCCCTTCTTTACAAAGCCTATGCTCTTTCATCTGAGATGGGTAGTGAGGGTGGCCTCTATCTCTATGACAATAACCTGCAATTTCTTTTTCTCTCTTTGGAATCTAATTTTTTTAGGTTTGCTCCCAGAGTATGGTGGGGGAGAGGATGAAGAACCATTCTTAAGAATCTATAATAGAAGACCCCTCCTAAACCTCCAAACAAAGCAAAAATGTAGCTCATGAATATTTTGCTGGTTATTTTATACATGTTTCCACTTGCCATCTGAAGCTATAGGGCCTCCTAAGTATTCATGGACTCAACTAAAAAACAGAAAAATACAAAACCAGGGTAATTATTTGTACCCTGTGCAAAAAGGCAAAATTTCTAGTGAAATGGATAAAAACTGGTATTTTTATGCGGTTTGAAAGCCCCGATATTTTTTTTACATCAGAAGGAGGCAACCCGCACAGCTTAAAACTATGCTGCATACACACTGCATTTTGCAACAGTAGGATTTTTCAACGTATTAGTTAGTTATGATAATATGTCACCATGCAACGTTTTGTAAATTATGCATTAAAAGGGATCATTGGGTGGTTCTTTATTGCAAACATCAATCTCTTCGACATCTTTTTCTCCTATAACTAATGAAGATTGTATTCTTTTGCAAACAGACCAGACCAAAAAAAGAACAACAAAAAATGAATACTTTTGGGGAGGGCAATTTTAAGGCTAAGAATTCACACAAGTAAGAATGGCCTTAAAAAATTTTAAGCTATAATATCATTTTATTCCCATGTGCTGCCTTTCTGCTCCACAAATAAGAGAACTTTCTGAGGCATTATTTTATGATGTGTTAGACCTACAGTCACATATGTGTGACTAATCCCCAGGAGAAAGAACACGAATCAGATGCCAGGAATGACTGAACCAATCGTAGCCAACAACTGAAAAGTGCAAGAAGTTATTTTTAAGGTTTCCAACACTCTTTAAAAAACGGCAGCCAGGGTCGTTCAGGGGTTTAGCGCTGCCTGCAGCCCAGGGCCTGACCCTGGAGACCCGCGATCCAGTCCCACGTCTGGCTCCCTGCATGGGGCCTGCTTCTCCCTCTGCCTGTGTCTCTGCCTCTCTCTCTGTGTCTCTCATGGATAAATAAATAAAATCTTAAAAAAATAAAAATAAAAATATAAGCACCAAAAGAATAGGATGCTATAGACCAATAACGCTCATTTGGAATGGTTTTTTGTTTGTTTGGAACGTTTTCTTCCAGAGAGAAACTTACAACAGACATCTGACCTGGAAGTTCCCGAGTCCATTTATTTACATCGCCCCATTTCAGAATCCTTAAAAAAGTTATCATGTCCTATTCCCAGTCTTAAAAGAAGACTTTAAGAATTTGATGGTGATTTTAAGAATTGATGGGGTGTTAGAGTCCTAAGGTCTATACTTAATCACAAATAAAGGGTCGAGAAGTTAAGAACGTCTGGAGGGCGCTGGACTGGCCCCTGGGCGGCGGCCGGCAGCTCCGAGGGCTTTGGGCAGGTGCTCCTCGTCCCCCTGGCCGGCGGGGCTGGCCTGGGCCTGAGCACCTGCTGCATCCGAGGCAGCCCCGCCCTAGGGAATCCCCACCCCAGGCATTCCCCACCCACCCCGGGCATCCCCGCCCCAGGCATCCCCGCCCCCCCTCCCCGAGGTATTCCCCCCCGGGCATCCCCGCACCCGGCACCCCCCACCCCATCCGCATCCCCACCCCAGGCATCCCCACCCCCCGGCATCCCTGCTCCTCCCCAACCCCCCAGGCATCCCCCTCCCCCAGGCATTCCCCCCCTGAGGCATTCCCCGCCCCCCCCCGGGCATCCCCGCACCCTTTGCCCGCATCCCCGCCCCAGGCATAGCCGCACCAGGCATCCCGGTTCCCCCAGGCATCCCACCAACCCCCCGGCATCCCCAACCCCCCCAGGCATCCCCGCCCCGGGCATCCCCGCACCCGGCAGCCCCCCCACGGGCATCCCCGCCCCGGGCATCCCCCCCAGGGATCCTCGCACCCGCCCCCGCCCCGCATCCCCGCCCCCCGCCTCCCCGTCCGAGGCATCCCTGACCCGCATCCCTGCCCCGCACCCCCGCCCCGGGCACCCCCGCCCCGCCCCCGTCCGCATCCGCACCCTGGGCATCCCCGCCCCGGGCATCACCCGCGCCAGGCATCCCCGCCCCCCCAGGCATCCCCGCCTGAGCATCCTCCCCCCGGGCATCCCCCTCCCCCCCCCCCCGGGCATTCCCGCCCCAGGCATTCCCGCCCCAGGCATCCCCCCCCACATCCCCGCATCCCGGCCCCAGGCATCCCCCCCGGCCGCCCGCATCCCCGCCCCTGACCTCAGCGCCGCCTGCGGCCGACCGGCCCGTGGGGTGGCCTCCGTCTCCCTCCGTCTCCTCCCGGAGGCCCTGGGGACCCGGCGAGGCGGCCGGAGCGGCAGCCTCGTGGCCTCGGAGCAGCCTTTCCACGACGCCGTAGTTGGAGCGGGGGTCGGCGGAGCGCGGGCGGCCGGCCAGGCTGCGGGGCCCCCAGGCGCGCGGGAGCAGCGGGCGGCGGGGGCCGGGGCTGGGGCCGGGGCCGGGGCGGGGGCCGGGGCGGGGGCCGGGGCGGTCGGGCACCTGCGCCCTGGGCACGGGCCCCTGGGCACCGGCGGGACGACCCCCGGACTCCTCGTCACCCCCCGCGGCCCCCAGGGCGGTGGGTCCGGGCCCCCCGGGGGGTGGCTGGTGGCTCGGCGGGGGCTGCGCCGCCCGGCAGTTCCGATCCGTTCTAAACACGATTCGGTTAAATTCATCGGTCTTGGCGGCCAGCTTCTCATTCCTGGTGGTCCTGAAGCCACAGCGGAGACCCCGAAGCAGGCCACTGCCCTCGGTGGCCACGGAGCCAAGGTCGTTGGGGCTAGAGGCGGCCGGGCCACCTGGGGCCAGCGCCTCCCAGCTCTCGGGACAGCAGGATGCAGAGGGACCATTCTGTGCGGCCACCCCACCGCCACCAAGCCAGCTGCCCAGCCCAACACGGTCCTCACATGCAGGCTTGTCCTCTATCTTGGCTTTGGGCGCCAGAGAAGGAAACACGATGCCACCTTGCAGGGCCTGCCCTTCATTTGCACCCAGCCCAGGGGCCGCCCGGGGCCTCCAAAGGATGTCAGGACCACAGCCCCTTCCACCGTGACCCTCCGGGGCCACCTGGATGCTGCGGCCTAAACCTCCCTTCAGACTCCCAGGAGCTCGTTCTGCACAGGAGCTGGGAAAGTTTCGGGATGTGCTTCTCGGAGGAGGAAGGGGCGGAGCTTCATTTCTCTGCAGATCAGTCGTACCCAGGTCACCCTTTTTCCTAGCCCCGCTCGGGGGCACATCGGTGCAGCTTAGATTCTTTCCGTGTTCCTGTGTTTGCTTTTCCGAGTTGATTGGAAGAATGCCCTGGCCATCGCTGATCATGTGCTCTCCGCGAGGCATGTTCGTTACACGCGGCATTTCCTGCAGGAAAGAATCTGACTTCATCCTAAACAATTATAAAACACAGCATATTAGCGATCGTTTTATTTAGGACGAGTTCTCAAAAGAAACCACGCTTAGGCAATGAACTTCTGCTATAAGAACAGGACTCCCAACTTCCTCCAACAGCATTTTCATGTAACTTCTCTAAGTCAAAACCTCCAAGTCCTTTTTTACTGTAGGATAAAGCCTACCTCTCAGTGTGGCACTCACAGCTCACCTGCTCTGACCCAAACTCTCTTTCCCTGACATTCCCAAATGGGCTCTTACACTCAGACCGGACGGCGCAGTCTCCTGGGTGTCTGCTACTGGCATTCCCATTTCCACAGCTTCTCCCTACCATTTCCTTACCTCTGCTCTACCCACCGAATTCCTATTCGTTATGTCATGTGAGCTCCGGTTCCTTCCCTTGAATTTGAAATGACATCCTAAGCTAAGAAGTGCAACAGAAATCCAAATAAAAGTTCACTGAAACATGTGGTAGCAAATGGAACGTGTCATTTGGGCTTGAGGCAAGAGTAAGAATTTTTTCGGGTAAGTAAAGGGCATAGAGGCAAAGTGAGCCACAGTAAAGATAGTGTGGCTCTGCGAGGAATAGTAGGGCCTTTGGTAGGGCCTGATCGCAAAGCAGAGTGGGGAGGATGAAAGAGACAGGAGGTTAAATTGGAACGTATTTGAATTACGTGCTAAATAAAGACCTTCAATTTTTTTTCCCCTAAAGTTTACGGAGTAGCGAGGAGAAAGAACATTATACCAGGTGCGATTTGTAAAAGAAAATTGGTGAGTCTTTCCTAAGCTCGATAAAAAAAAAACAAAAAAAAAACAAAAAAAACAAAAAAAACAAAAAACAACAACAACAAAAAAACACAACAACAACACCCAAATAAAGTAGCAATATAAATTTCCAAGTTAAAGTTAATTGATCATACGGATACTGGATACGTATAAATCCTCTTTATAGGTCTTCAACTTGCAAAATGTTAGGAGACAGGGTACAATCAAGTGCAGATAAATAATAACACAGAATGGTAGGCAAAAGCAAAATGGGTAGGTAGAGGGCAAAATTATGCACACAATATGGTTGAATAAAAATATCTATTGTAAGTCATTATAAAAACTCTTTCTGAGCTTTCTAAGAGCCAAAGACAAATAAGGTACACACTGATGCTATTCCCAAGAGGAACACACTTCCTCACTAGGAGATAAATGTTGATCCTAGAACCATCCACCTTTACTTACCTTGCAGAGAATTACAATTTATTTTTTAATAAATTTTTGGTGAATTTAATAAATTTTTGGTGAAAACTTACTTTTATAATTATAGAGGTGTTTCTAAACTGAAACAGCGTTTTTCAAATTTAATTGTATGTGTATTTACATATTTATGTATTTACAGTATATTGTTCTGACAATTATGTACACCTCCATTATACATATACATAGTAAATACAGAGAAATAAGAGACTTTTAGGTATAAAAAACTTCAGTAGACCATCTCTATTTTTTTTCAGTAGACCATCTCTAATTAAAACTCCACACTGTCCAATCTTAAGATATATTTAACTTATTAGCCCAGCTGTGCACTCTTCCACTAGCCAAACACTCACAGTGAGAAGGAGGTACGTAAGAAGCTACTGGACAGTGTACCTTAACCAAACACCAACAGAGCACAGTATTCCTAACAGTCAAGTCATGGAGAGAATGAGAAGATTTGGTTTAAGAATTAGTAAACAGAGAAATACTCAATTAAAGCCTTTATCTCTTGTCTAAGATAACAGATTTTTAATGACTCATCGTTAATTCGCACTAACAAAGTGTAATGAGGAGGCAGTTTGGATTCATTCACTGAAAACAATATTTTTCTTGACTTTCTGATATAAAAGAATCATAGATGTACCAGCCCACCTTCTGTGGTTAGACCGCTTTCGGATTTCCTCTTGAAAGCTGCATAATTCTTCACTAACTTTGGCAAGTTCTTCAAGAGCCTTTATATATATAAGCAATAGCGGGTTAGCACTTGGAAATGTAAATATTTCTTTAGAAACAGTTCTAGGCCAACCACAATCTTACTTACTGAGTTGAGGGCCCCAGAACTGCTCCTGCTCTCTTCCCCGGAAGTCCTCAGATCAGGGCAGACCTCATATTCTTTTTGGTTATCTGTGGCCAAAGGATCCGTAAACACGACTTTTGATTTTTTGGTTGCTTTTTGTTCCTTGCACATTTGATTTCCTTCACAGGGTAAGCTGTGCTCTGTTTTATTTTCTCTTTCCAGACCATCCCTGTGATTCATCCGTGTAAATTCACATCGTCCTGAATTGGGGTAGTTTGGAGGAGATCCCACCACTTGATCTTGAATCACTTTCTCACGATCGTGACTGAGGATCTTATTAGCACATTCATTCATGTTGATTTTCCTCCGAAGCTTTACTTCATGGCAAAGCTGCAAAGAAAATGAAGAGAAAGCTTTTTCTCCCCTTTAATGTACTTCATCAATATTTTTGATACTAAACACGCTATTTTGAGTTCTCTTTGCCACATCATGATATACTAACTACCCTGGGGTATTGATGCTCATGCCTCTGAGTAGCGTTCTAAAATCTGATCGGCCAGAAAAACTCTGATGAACCATAAGGACTACTTCTAGTAGGTCAAAGTATGGATGGTAATTTCTTTTTTTTTTAATTTTTATTTATTTATGATAGTCACACAGAGAAAGAGAAAGAGAGACATAGGCAGAGGGAGAAGCAGGCTCCATGCACCGGGAGCCTGATATGGGATTCGATCCCGGGTCTCCAGGATCGCGCCCTGGGCCAAAGGGCAGGTGCTAAACCGCTGAGCCACCCACTGATCCCCTGGATGGTAATTTCTATGTCTCTGTGTAGGAATCAAACTCATTCAGAAATAAGATAAGCCCGCACCTATATAAAACATGTCATGATGATGCAGAAGCACTGTTGGAAAATTGGAACGTCCTGAAACAATTGCTGGTCATGCTCTCTAACAGCTTTCAGAGAAAAGTAAGAATTTAACTAATATTAGTAAGAATTTAACTAATATTAAAGCCATGTTTTAAAAGTCTACGATTGCACTGGCATGCCAACGCTCAAGTGTGTAAATAGTTGACAGTATCATGCAGCACACCAGTTCATTCCATTCCCTGAGTGGAAGTTGTGCAATCAAAGGATGTTTCCTTTGGAAGTTATGTTGGTGTTACTGACGTATTGCTGGGTATTGCTGAGATTTTTTTTTTTTTTTTTTTTGGAAAAGATTTTTCCGTTTTTCAAAAAAGATTCCTCATCCTGATTAAAACAAACGTGACCCTGTCCTATGTGATACCAGAACTCTAAGGCTTCAATCATCTGTGTTAAAGTGGATCTCAAATTATTTCTTGATGAGAGTTTAGTTTAACCTGCTGGCGCTCACACAACGCACCCCTAGAGGAGGCCAGTGGCCTTTTCTCTTTAGGCTTGAGTTGTGGGAAAGCGTGGCAAATTTCAAAGGAGCCTGTCGGCTAACTATTAAAGCAAATAACTACGTTCTCCAGCCACAACCTATATCTACACCACATCTATTATTCAAAGAGTAGGATAACAGATTTATTGCTCTTCAGTATTTACCCAAATTTGGGAGAAGCACTATACATAGCTGGTGCCTGAATATAAATATAAATAAATATACTGTATATATTTATTCCCATAGATGCTTACACATCTAACGTTGCATGATCGCAGGATTGCATCAAATTATAGCCATGGATCCATTGTTTTGGCTCTCATAAAATTACTTATCCTGAGCTATTGTGAGCATTCTGGTTTGGGCTGACCTTGGGAGATTCTCTAAGGAGCAGCTCTCAAAAGTCCATCTTAAATCTAAGGGTGCTTATGGTGACATTGTCCTCTTTTTGAGGCGTGATGGGTGAAAACAAAATTGCTTTATTTTCAAAATCGGGGACAAAAGTGCTATTCCTGGGAAACAGGTTTGCCTTTGTCTTCTGAATATTGAGAAATATGCATCTGCTGATTTTCACGGTCGTTACTGGAAAGACAGACTTGGTACATGCAATTCTCATAAGATCCTTCCTCCTGTCTTCATCTCACCTTTGTTGTTGTTGTTGTTTTATTTTGAAATACTTCACCTTATGTAAGATTTTATATACCATCTTAAATTCTCTGGGGGATTTAAGTGAGGTATGGATAAGCAAATAATATAATGCTATTGATGGAAAACAGATTTATTTTGTATAAGAAACTGTGTTACTTCATACCTAGCACTTGTCAGTGGTTATCATTTGAACAAAGGTGACAAGCAGAAAAGACTGCAATGTGATAAAAAAAAAAATTGTCAGAAACCTAAGAACTCTAGGGTTTCTATCCAAATTACTCCAGGTTTCAAATAATCCAAGTACGTACATCTTTACATTTCGCAACAGCAAATGCAATGATTGTGGATGGTGGCTGAGCGAAGGATCATTAGCATCTTAACACTTGACACTGGATCTCCCTGGAAGATACCACTTGGAATCAGGTTACATGCCCACCTGCGGGAATCTATAATTCCTTAGGACACGGCTTACTAATCTGTGTCTGAGTCCATATACAGGCCTTAGTGATATATATTAGACAAATACAGTCTATTCTGCTTGCAGCATGTTATAATTTTTTGTGTATTGGTGTTTAATTTCAGTCGGAAAAAAATGTCTTGATTCTCTGTGACATGGGAGGGTACTTTCCTCCTGTTTTCTTCAAATTCTCCTACCCTCGTTTGTAGCCTATTAGGCGTGTTAGAAGTACATTCTTATGGGCTACAAAGCTGTGAGGAGAAAAGAGCTATGTACTCGGATGATAAGAGTAGCATGAGGCCAGTGTTCAGGAATTACGGAGCATCATCTATGGGTATTCTGGGGAAGCACCTTATCCAGACACACTCCCAGGGCTGGAGGGAGCTGTATATTACTAGACACCTAGAAAGCACCGTGGCTACTATTCAAGATGAGGAAAAAAATCTTACAGCCCTCTACCTCCCCGATGCAGAAAGGAAGAGCACTTCTACAAACTACCATCCTATGTTTAAGATACGTTTAATGCCTGCGAATCGAAAAGGCGGATATTTACCATAGATAGAATCTACGGGGTTGTCAGCATAGCTATTTGACAACACAGGATTTAAGCAGCAGATTCTTTTAGCCACATGGCTTAAACAATTGGTCAGACTAATCCTGACTCCTTTAATTTTTTTGGCTCGGATGCCAGAATTATCTGGCCTTCCAAACCTTTGGGAACCAATGACCCCTGAGCTTTGGATTCTGACTTGACATAGATATCTCCCTGTTAATCCCCCCTTAGTCTGTAGGTTAAGGAGTTACATGAGTAAGCAAAACACATTTCCAAACCAGAGAGGTACGAGCAGGGGATTCTCATACGCTACATGCCTGCCTTCTCAGCTCCGTAACACGGAACAGTTTAACAGTTACTCTTTTTAAATTTTTCCTTGCAGTGTGCCAATTGACATTTTGTTCACAACCGATTACACGGCTGTTAATAAGAAAAATATTTGCACTATAAACACATAAAGCACCAGCTTTGATTGTCTGTGAAAAAAGGCCAAGGAGTCTGTTTAAAGAATCACTTTGGCAATGTGCACAAACCATGTCCCAACATGAATGTCATTGGAGGCAAGCAAGATAAATATAAATAATTTTCAGTTGAAACCAGCTCAAAGATACATCAATGTGAATACTTCAAGGAAATATTCCAGGGCTGAGGGATGGTTAATGGAGACAAAATGACTATTTGTATCAGAGCCCTGGCACGTTGTTTTTCATAACCCCTTTCCTAACAAATGCGCCAATAAATGTGGCACATTTTGCCAGAATAAATATCATGTCCACCACCATTCTGATATACGACACTCCTTTTGATTGCACCGAGTGATCTAATACATAATTTCCTTTAGTAGACATGATTCATAAATCATCTCAGGAAAAGATCTGTATTTTAATGCCCAGTTGTAATTTTGCTAATATACGTCCCACCGGTTATGTTTTTCTTACATTTTCCTCTTGGGCCTCGTGCTTGAAAGCTCATGCAAAATACGTTCCTCACTTTTGATACCAAGGCACTTTAGTCAAAACATGATAAACTGATACATTTTAGAAGGACATTTTAAGTTCTTCATTTTCATACTGGGCTATCAAAAAAAAAAAAAAGCCTACTCCCTTCAATACCCCTGGATAAGGTTCTGCTATTTTTGGTCTAGCGAATGTCATTGAGACATGCCTTCCTGAGGCAGAACAAGGAAAACAGAAATGGTTTCCAATACAAGACAAATTTCAAACGGAATTTTCATTCTGAGCTTTAAGTGTCAATGTAGTCGAAACAAATCAATCTGTACCTCCTCTATCTTCTTCTGCATGATTTTCCATTGACTCTCCCATTCCTTCCTTTCGTTGTCAAACTGGTCCAGCAGTTCCATCTTTTCCTTGTGCCAGTCGGTCTCTGTGTTCTCCCACTGCTTATGCAGGGCCATGGCAACCGTGTGAGTGTTACTGAAGGGGTATTTCTGCTTGTCTCTGCCTTCTTAACTGTTTCTTGGAAGCTTGGAGTTGGTTTATTTGAAGCGGTCTCACTTGCCTTTAAAATAAAGCCTACTATAAACATAACAAGAAAGAGTTCCAAATCCATTTGCTTTTTGGAAGCATGCTATCATTTTGTTAAGAGCCATCGACATACACAAACGACGGGAAAACCGTACTTAAGAGTAGAGAGGAAATGATGAAGAGTCTGCTTACGAGGAACGAACACAGTTGGGACACCTGGGTGGCTCAGTCCATTAAGCCACTGACTTGGGATCTCTGCTCGGGTCTTGATCTCAGGGTCATGAGTTCAAGCCGTGCATTGGGCTCCGTGTTGGGCTTGGAGCCTACTTAATTAATTCAAGCAAACAGAAGAACTAACATAGTCAAAAAGTAAGTATGGCCCAAAGGGGTTTTTCCCCCTTGCTCAAATGGGTTTTTTGCCCTTTCTGAAATCAGACAGCAATATCATAGCTGAATGCATATGTGAGATGTAACTGAGCATTCCTTTAACCAACTACCTCCTCTAAAGATGGACTATCTAAGGGTGACTATCTAAGGGTGGAAGTATGAAATTCAACTGTATGGTTGGATCTGCACAACCATGGTGGATTCTGCTGCAACAGGATTACTCCTGTTTTGAAGCAATGAGATTATATGTTTCTGCGACTTAAGGTCCTGAAGCAGTGCTGGGCGGCAGTCTCCATTTTATGTTCAGAGTTTCAAGCCCAAGCCAGATGTGATTACTGTATTAGTCAGACCCCTTGAGCTGGGGGTCAGTCTGGGACTGATGTATCAGCAAAAAACCAAACTCACCCATAAAAATAGTTTCATCATTTTAGTTCATCAAGTAAAATATAAAAGCAGTAAAGCCATCCTGGGAGCCACATGCTAAAATTCACCCATTCTCTCTTTTTCTTCTCATGGACCATATATCAGAATATGCTGCTGAGGCTACTGAATACAGAGCACTGACGACGGTTTGCTCAGTTTGTAAGGATACCCTTGATTACATTAAGCAAGGATGGAAATAATTAGATTTCTAGCATTTAGCGTATGTGTATTTAGGGTCTGAAGGTGCAGTTTATTTATTTAATATTTATTTATTTATCTAGAGGGCCCATGTGCAGTGGGTGTGAGGAGGGGGGCAGAGAGAGAGAGAGAGAGAGAGAATATTAAGCAGGCTTCATACCCAGCACGGAGCCCAACATGGGGCTCAATCTCACGACCCTGAGATGGTGACCTGAGCCAAAATCCAGAGCCTGATGCTTGACCGACTGAGCCATGCAGACGCCCCTGAAGATGCAACTTAAAATACGAGATTGGTAACTCTTTTATAAACCTAAAATTTCTGAGATTTACTTTCTTTACATTAAAATGAAGGCTACTTATAGGATAGTTACAAAGTTTAAATGACATACGGTATGCAAAATAGTTTGAGAAACTTAAACATTTTCCCTCGTTTTTTCCTTTAAAAAAATCTCGATCTGGCTTCTACTAAAAATATATTTTTAAAAGATTTTGTTCATCCATTTGACACAGAGAGAGAGAGAGCGTGCACAAGTAGAGGAAGGGGCAGAAGGAGAGGGAGAAGCTGGCTCCCAGCTGAGCAGGGAGCCCGATGCGGGACTTGATCCTAGGACCCCGGGATCACGACCTGAGCCAAAGGCAGATGCTTAACCAACTGAGCCACCCAGCTGTCCTCAAAAATAATTTTTATTAAGGTCATATGGGGCATCTGGCTAGCTAGGTCAGTGGAGTGGGTGACTCTTGATCTTGGGGTCGTGAGTTCAAGCTCCACCTTAGGTGTAAAGTCTACTTCAAAAAATTAAAAAAGGAAAAAAAAAAGAAAGACAGACCACTATTTTTTAATGAGTGGAAAAGAATATTTGAAACGTTTGAATCATCATCTAAGATAATCATGGGTACTGGAAGTCTAGCTCTTGGGTTTTCTAGGCCATGATCGAAATGCGTTAATTCACCAGGTGGCGGCTAATGCTCATTAGGAGCCCAGCGCCCCCAGAGTCAATAGTTCCTGACTGGGTGGGTGCTGCTGCTGCAGATGACGCCCACACAAGCATGTAGTGGCAGAGGATGGCTGGACGTTTCGTGTCCCAAATATAAGACACACATTGAAGACTAATCTTATTTTTATCAGATTGTTCTGAACTCGCATATCCAAGTGATAAACTGCTCCAAACACATTTTTGGAGCTGCGATCTATCAATGAATCTATCAGTGAATTATCAGAGATTAATAAGGATGGAAAAATGTTAGTGCCATCTGCAGGGCTCCACCTTCAAAAGCAGGCTGAAAACACTGGGATCTACACAGTTATTGTCTCTTACACAATCTGCTACAGACCCTCCGGGTGTTCTTACCCACGACTTTGACACTCAGCACTCCGACTGGACTGACTCAGTCAAGAAAAGAAGTAATCTCAGATTTGAGAAGTCCGCATGTCTCATCTTATCCACTCAGCCATGATCGTTTTCTAATCTCATTTCTCACCTTCCCTGTCATCCTCCCAAACTTTTGCTCCCGTCCACACCCGTGAGCCGGCGACCAGGCACCACACACGCACCTGCCACAGCCAGAGCCAGTTGCCTAAGATAAGTACATCGATGAAGACCTAACAAAATGAAGATAGTCAAGAATATACACAATTTTGTTCGTCTTGGTGAGTGTCCTTAATCTTGATTACCTAGTAATCGTTAAGTTCATCTGATAAACTATTCACAGGAAATGCAGACCATGCTTGTTTTTGCACTGGCAGACTGCTTTGAGGCTGCATGTAATGAACTGTGAGTGGATACTATCCTGCTTCCTAACAGGTTCCTAACCCTGGGACTTCTTAGGAAGAGTGGAGTGCTTTAAGACCTCCAGAGGTAGTTGTGAAGGTAACCAAGGAAAGCGTGGAAAGGGAACAGACTCCCTGCAAAGGAGGTGTTACGACAGTCCATGTTTCAGCCTGTGTCTAAGCATCAGAAATATTCAGGAATCATCATAGAGTTTCTCCTACAGTTAATGTAGCAAAGGGCTCCAATTTTCCTTTCTATTGCTAACTCCTCTTGAACCACTTCCAGAGTAGGGCTAAACGGGGTAAAAGGTGGCAGATTCTTCCTTTTTATTTTGTTTTGCTTTATTGTTATTTTCAAACGTACCTGAAGATCATCCAGGAAAATTCTAACTGAGGCTTGCACCCTGTAACCTTACTGTACACGAACCCAGGTAATGCTCCCAAAAGTGGACAAAATCCCCAACTTAACTGCAAAGAGCCAAACTCATCACTTACTATGGGTCGGAGCCAATCTACAGAGCTTCCCCTTTCCAGGCCAGAGCACTATCTAGTGCCAGGAAATGTAACGGTCACGGATCAAAAACAAGCCTTTGAAAGAAAATTCCTATAGAGCAGTATCTGTGCCAATTTTGGGGGGAGGATTTATGTTGCCTTCCTGGCGTCTAAGTCGTGTCATAAATGTCAAACACAATATGACTGAATTTATTGCTTTCTCCTCCAAAAATAAAATGGGGCCCATAGAGTAGCAGTGAGGATTACATGAACAAAAAAGAAAGAATGCTTAATAAAAGTACCCCACATGGTTTTGAATCATTGTCAGTGCTCAGTAAATGCCCGTTACTTGGTTTCTTCCTTCTGTCCTTCCCTCTTTTTCTTTTCTTCCCTCCCCACCCTCCTTCCTTGCCTTCATTTATCCTTCTTTGTGTTTTCGTTCTCTGGAATAAAACGGATGATTTTCATCTTTTTTTTTAATTAGAAGATGAACAGAAGCAGAACTAATTTTGCAAACTCCCATATTTTCAACGACTTTCTTCTGCCCTTGGTATTTTTCAAGTATTTTAAGAATCCATGGCAAGCTGAACATTTAGGAATTTTTTTTAATTGTTAACGAAAATTTGAAAAGACAAATCTTACATAGAACTCCCTGGGTGGCTCAGCAGTTTAGCGCCTGCCTTTGGCCCAGGACGTGATCCTGGAGTCCCGGGATCGAGTCCCGCATCGGGCTCCCGGCATGGAGTCTGCTTCTCCCTCTGCCTGTGTCTCTGCCTCTCTCTCTCTCTCTCCCTCTATGTCTATCATGAATAAATAAAATCTTTTTTTTAAAAAAAGAACTGCTTTCCTAATAAATCTCCTTAAATAGTTAAAAAAAATTCAACTAACTGGGCAACTTTGTAGGGACGCTATGTTCTATAATGGGAGGTCATGGGGTAAAGTGGTTAAGCAGATTCTGAAACTCAGTTTCAGTGCTCTCTACAGAGACAAACACAAAAGTTCTCTTTCTTCCTAGTTGTCACTCTTTTTCGCCCACGGATATTGGCATCTACGTGGGAGAGAAGGAAGGGTTTCTGCTAACTGGATCCCTCCCTGTGTTTCTAACTCTGTATCATTTCACTTCATGCAGAGTTTCATTCAGAATACAAATTTGTTACAGCAAATGTAAGAGTCTAGGGAATCGCATCACTTTGTCATGCACGTGCTTCCTTCGCCAACGCTGAGGTGGCATTACATAATCCGTGGAACCTGCTTCCCCTTCCCCAAGGCCAAGGCCGGGGGTTGTGAGTGGGCAGCAGAAACATGGTGATGGGAGGGATACAGTCCCGCTCACCTTGTGCCCTGCAAGCAAGCAGCATTGAAGCAGAACCCAGGAGTCTCCCAGTAAATCTTTTTAATTTCCCAAATTAGCCTCAGTTTGGTCACGGTTAACACCTCATTGTCTGAGGAGTGCTCCATTCTTCCGACACTTTGGACCTTACCATCTTCACCACCATCTCCCCCCTCTCACCCCAACTGGAGACTGGACTTTAGCCAGACAGAGGAAACCGGGCTATGGGACCTGACTCTACGGCTACTTCCCTCCTCTGAGATTTCTGTTCTCAGTATTCGTTTCTTGCTCTCCTGTTTCCTTTTTCAAAACCTACTACGTTTCATATAATCAAAGATTTGTCATTTGTAGGAG